ATATTACATTATATATATATATATTAGATTAGATTAGATTAGATTAGATTAGATTATATATTATAGTATATTATATATTATGTTATATTTTAATATATCCCATTATTGTATTTTATATGATGTATATTAATCTTTATTATGTTTTTTATTTCATATTTCTTGTGAATTATATTATATATTATATTTATATATTACATATTATATATTGTATATTATATAGTTTGTTATTCATTATATCATATATTATATTATATATTATATTATATTATATGATATTATATGGTGTATATATATATATATATATTTACTATATATACAACATATACTACATATACTATCTATACTTTATATACTATACATAGTATATATAGGGCATGAAGAAGGAGAGGAACCAGAGATATAGAGATTTGTTTTGAAAATATAGAGGAAAAAAGGGTTTTCCTAGGAAAATAGAGGGAAAATACAAGTTTCCCCATGAAGATGCGCAGATCCCCCCCCACACAGAGCCAAAAAAAAANNCCCCCCCCCCCCCCCCCACTCACAGAGCCAACAATAAAAGGGCCAAAAAAAGACAATAAAAAGGCCAACAAATTCTCCACCCGAGAATCCGCCCAAGCACCGCTAGTACAGCAGCAGCCATCGTCACTGGTCGCAGGTGATCTCGTCTCCCTTCGGCTTTGGCGCAGTCTACAAGGGCCCTACGGCACTTCTCTTCGCACACAACTCATTCAGGGCAATTTGAGAACAAGTTCGTTCTTCTCAAACAAGCATTGCTTGAGGACCTTTCCTGTCGCTGAGGCATTGGAATTGAGGCAAGCCGAGCGGTTGAGTCAAAGACCTCAGATGCCGTGCAAACGGCGTAGCTACTCACACTACCTGCGGCCGATGTCAAGTACCTCTTCTAAGGCCATCCTCGATTGTATGGTGCGCATGCAGGCTAGTCGGCTCAGATTTGCTCACTTCTTCTCCGAGCACGTATCACTACATGGCCTAGGTCGCGTGATCCTGGCAGAGATTGCACTGGGACGTTGCCACACCGCGTGGCTTGCTGAGAAAAGTCTGGGCTTCGCTTCGTCCTAAAACCTGTAGCATGTAGAACCCTAAGCCCTAGGATCCCTAGGGTTTAAGGGGCTTCGTTACTGTTTTGCGAGGCGTTGCTCCCTGCAGGAAGCGGTGACGGGCCAGGCCGGCCAGGTCGACGGTTCAGGCTCAGGCCGGAAACAGGGAGGGAATCGCAGCTACTTATATACATATATATATATACACATATATATATATATATAGGAAGGCAGCCACTTATATAATCTTAAAGTGCATAAGTTCACTCCACGGTGCAGGTTTGGGAGCTTCGGTGCCCTTGGCGCTGTCCTTGACATCCAAGACTCAATTCTCACAGAGTGGGAAATCGTGATCTCAAGTCTAAAAGGCAAATGCCCTGGAAGTTGAGTACCACCGTGGAGCAGACTCAGTGCCGATGCCTCACAGATGTCCTGACGACGAAGAGTCTGTCGTTTCTGCCGAGTGTGGTTGAGGTATTTCCCAAAAATTGGAGTTGTGGCTCTTCTCTGCCTGGAGCTCTGCAGTTTCTCGACGAGTCCTCCCCGTTTTCCTCGTAATTATGGCGAGACGAGCCGAAGGTCCGTCTCGGGCCCTTCCAGTGTTTCTGGCAGAGTGACCTCAGCTTGTATTTGGTTCGATGGCCGTCTGTTCAATGCCAGTGCTGTCCGCGTCTGCCAGCCAAGTCCGATGAAGTACCCAGCCAGGTACTCTCGACAGCTCGTTGGACAATGACACAGCACTGATTGCAACGTCTCGGACCTGCCGTAGAAACCTTTCAGTGACCAGGTTTCGGCACGGTTCCTCGGCCTCTCACACAGGGAAAATTCGTGTGCAGGAAATTCGATCCGGAGCGAGTGCTTGTAATTAGCCATGCATGCGGTCCGTGAGCCGGACGGTCTCAACCTTGAAGGTTGGGCTTCTTATCCCGGCTGTCGAGGCTTGTCTTAGCCTGCAGCGCATGCTTGCGCGGTGGGACAGCTTGGACATCAAAAATACATGCACGCATCAGGTGTTAAGCGGTTAACAAGGCAAACTTTGAGCCTTTTTGCTGCTGTTTTTAGGGAATACTTGGCTGACCCGCCACGGGAGGTCATCGACAGGATCCACGCTTTTGAAGAGCTACCTGGGCTCAGTAACAGGGTTCCCTGCTGCACTGCCTGCAGTCTTGCTTTGCAATGCCGGTGCCTGAGCCTGACGTCACAGTCCCGGAGGGCGACAGCAAGAAGGGCGCGAAGCTCTTCAAGGCCAAGTGTGCTCAGTGCCATACCATCGAGAAGGGTGGGAATGCCAAGCAAGGCCCACCTCTCTGGGGCCTGCCCGGTCGCACGTCTGGAACCTGTGATGGTTTCGCATACTCGGAGGCGAACAAGAATGCAGCGATCGTTTGGTCGGACAAGCACCTCTTCGAGTACCTCCTGAACCCGAAGAAGTACATTCCGGGAACCAAGATGGTGTTCGCAGGCATCAAGAAGGAGAAGGAGCGCGCCGACCTGATTGCCTACATGATGGAGATGAAGTGAGGGATCAGTCCCACGCCGGGCAGCTTGATTTTAACGCAAACTCCGTGCAGAACTCCGAGCAGAGTTCCTGTTTTCTGATCGCATGCAACGGTGTCGTGAGCATACAGGTGTTCTGACAGGTTCTGACTCATTGATGAAAAACTTTCTTGGGGAGTCTGACGGTGGAGCGAAGTCGTGGCTATTGCCCAATTTGCATGTTGAGCCCAAAATTGTTGGCTGCCGGCGTTGGGGTTTCTTGCTCAAGCCAACAGCTGGTAGGACCTGGCAGCAATCTGGTCAAAAACCATCACACCTTTGCTGTAATGCCGGTGCCTGAGCCT